AGCATCCCGTCCAGCGGTGTTGTATATCCTCTTGCGTAGCTTCGCGATTTGTCGCTGCTCTTGCAGTTCCTTGGGAGGAGTGCTGGTGAATACCGTTCACCTGAGGCCAGATGCTGGCTCGGTTCCCACTGATAGCCAAGTTTGGCTTATTGTTTGGCTCCAGTGCGCTGGTTTTGATGTGCTGCGATAACAAGCAAGTCTGCTATCATATTACTTGATTATTTTTCATTAATATTTCAATTCTGAATGTTTTGTGCAGTTTCAAGCAGTACACTACCAAAATCTTGTCCTCCCCAGATATAAAATGTTGTGGTGTGGATATTGGTTGACCTGATGAGTGATGCTGTTCTGGTCAGTATAGCCATGTGAAATAGAATTTTCTGAACTGGCGGTGTAACTGGCAGGAAGATCAAAGTTACAAGCAGCTGATCTCCGATGAGAGATTATTGGGGTAGGATAATCGGATAAAGGGCAGTTGAAGAAACTTGACACTTAAAATACTTTTTGTAAATCTGCCTGTCCTCATATGTCCTTGATTTCAGTAGCAGAGCTTGTAAAGCCTGGGCTCCTCTAGTTAGTCTAGTTGAGGTGTTTTGAGAGAAGACAGGAAATTCGGAAATCTATTGTAAATAGGATGTCTAAAAACTGATTACATGAATGCAGGTGAAGGTTGGTGTGTGGAAATGAGCCTGTGGGACTCTTGGCTGATCATTAATATTTTGTTACTTTGTGTGTTGGTCTTGTTTCTAATTCATAATAATGGCAGGTCTGAAGTCCATGTTCTTCTCTTCTTGTATGGAAAAGATGATGTGTTTAGGGGAGATGGTGGCTATAAATAGAGCTACTTCTAGAAAAAACAAACAAACCAGAAACTTGAGATCAACTGATATATTGGTCAAGGGGATTTGAAATCAGCAATAAGTCACAAGACACTTTGTGCTGTCAGCTGCCTGAAACTTGACTCGTTGGTTCAACACGGTGGCTGGTGAAAACAGGAATTCTGGCTACGTATTTTTTCTTGCTAATTAGGTAGAAATATATAATGATGCTGAATTTTTATTTTTGCTTTCAAATGTAATATTGCATTTATGTAACAGCCTTTACTTTTTTTGCGTGTGTTTTCCACATGAATAAATGTAAAATTGTGACAGAAAATGTCATATACTCAGTGCCCGTGTGTGCAAAACATGGTGATGGAGGTGAGCTGATCAATAGGGGCGGGAACTCTAGCTATTTAAATATGATATCAGGTGTGGAGGGAAACCGTATCCTCTGGGGAAGAATCAGTTCCCTTGCAACAACTCTAATCTTTCTGGAATTTGTCAGTTTTTGCTTTAATGCTATTTATAGTGCAGCATATATAAACATTGGCCTGTGTTTAGGTGAAAACACAAAAGTTTCATTTGAAGTCTGATTTGTGAAGAGCAGGTTTGTTGCAGCAGCCTTCTTAAAGGTACCCAAACAATTTCAGATTCCTCAGAGAAGTGTTGGAATGATAGCTCCTAGCAATCCAGTTCACTGAAGATGTATTTTAGACTATGAAGCTACGTCTGTTCTGAAGAAGAGGCAGGAGTGGGTTGTTTGGTTTTTTGTTTTTTTTTTTTCTTAAAGTTTGGGTTTGACCTTAAACTTCTGCCTTATGTTCATAGAACACAGAATGGTTTGGGTGGGAAGGGACCTTTCAAGCTCATCCAGTCCAACCCCCTGCCCCGGCCATGAGCAGGGGCATCTTCAGTTGGGTCAGGTTGCTCCGAGCCCTGTCCAGCCTGACCTGGGATGTTTCCAGGGATGGGGCATCCACCACCGCTCTGGGCAACTTGGGTCAGTGTTTCACCACCCTCATGGTAAAAAATGTCTTCCTTGTATCTAGTCTGAATGTCCCCTCTTTTAGTTTAAAACCATCTCCCCTTGTCCTTTTGCTACAGGCCTTGCTAAAAAGTCTGTCCCCATCTTTCTTGTCAGCCCCCTTTATATATAGAAAGGCCGCAATCAGGTCTCCCCACAGCCTTCTCTTCTCCAGGCTGAACCATCCCAACTCTCTCAGCCTGCCCTCAAAGCAGAGGGGTTCCAGCCCGTGGATCGTCTTTGTGGCCTTCTCTGGCCCCACTCCCATAGGACTGTGTTAATCCCACAGGTTTGATCTCTTTCTCCTCGTGTGTTACCCCGTAGACCTCCCATATTTTCCCTCTCCCCTATTGGGGAGCGGTATTTCTCGCACTGCTGGGAGGGGACGGAAGGTATGGGGAGCCATGAGAGCAGAGGGGGAGATAGGCCTGGAAGAACTGGGGAGGCAGAGGAGGCATCGATGGTGGCCGGGGCTGAGCTATCCCTTTTGAACCTTAATGGTGCTGTTTGTTTCCACCACACCTGGGTTCTCTTGGCTGCACTTCCCAGTGAGTTCCCCATAGCAGCGTTCCCTTCCCTCCTAGCAGCTTGCTCCGTCCTCTCATATTTAAGGCTGTCAGGGCTAATGGCAGCTTCTTTTCCAAGCACAGGGTACGTCTTCAATTTTAGGTGTGGTATCCAAGTGTATTGGGATAAAAACTGGGTGTTGTATTTTAGACCATGTTTCAAGTAGTTTGGTCTTTTACCAATGAAACGTGAAATTGAAGATTTGCTCGTAATGGTGTTGTAATCTTTGGGAATGTGCTTCAATTCTAATGCTAGCTTTTCCTTCCCTCCCTCTCTTTATCATATTGTTAGAATTATTCACAAAGATTATAATCGTGCTTGTTGTGGATTACTGCTAAAATTACGTGTTCCCTGGGAAAAAACATGCTGTGGGAGTTTTGGATCTGAGCGTCCCTTTAAAGCAGCAAATTTGACAGAACCTGCATCATGTTTGAGAGTTAAAAATAATTTCTTAAACAAGCAAACAAAACCCCAAATAAACAATCCCCCCCACCACCACCCCAACTTTGCAAAAAGCCAAACCAACAACCAACCGCAAGAGGAAAGCTCACTTTTACCGAATAACTTTGCTTTTGGAAATGAGGCTTTGTAATCAACACCAAATAACTTAGGAGTTATAACAGGATTCTGATGAGGAGTAGCTCTCTCCTCCAAGAGGATTTTGTGAGAGACAACAGAAAGGAATGAAAATGTATGTGTGTATGTATATGCAACATGGACATAAACCCAGAAAGGCTGCTATGCTTTCACACGCACACATGCTGTTATGAGCCCTTGTTTTGGGACCCGTCACTAAACGTTTTGCATAACAGAAATACTTGGTGAGTTGCTTCCAGTGTCTAGGGTGTAAAAGAATATTCAGCATAAGCAGAGCTGCCTGTCAAGCGACCGCAGCAGCCTTAAACATTGCTACTGCTCCTCGAGGCAACAGCCTTCCCTGCGCTGGCACAGTGAAGCGTTCTGAGTTTCTTAGACGGCTTAGTAGGAAGAATTTGTTGCAGAATGCACTTTGAGCTAAGATCACTTCTTGTCAGCAGAGCTGGACGGGCATCATTTTCCATATGAGAGGTTGTGGCAGGTACCTTGGGTGGCAATTACAGTGCAGGAGCTGCTCCAGCACCGAACATCTGCCTGTGGCTGGGTTTTCAACAGAAGTGAGCTTGGATTTTACTCCCCTGCTGTAGGTAGTAGCACTGGGGCCAGCCGGAATAAAGGCTGGTGTTCACTGACAGGGATTGCTGTCTGGAGCTGTGGTACAAACTGCTGGCTGCAGGGCAAGGGTGCTTAGAGGCACAGGGATGTCAAGCAGGGAAGTACCCTCTCACATAACTGGTTTTCTCTGGCTGGTATTTGTGCTTTTCATTGTTGGGACAAAATCTGAACGTTTCGTTCTTCAGTCTCTTGAGTTAAGACACTCGTTTTGAAGAAAATTTGTAGTGCAGCAGAGAACAGACCCACGCACATCCTGTGGTTTCCAAACGCCACATTTTATTTGGAGAATTTTTTGATGTATTGATGGCTATGCCAGTGGCCAAGCTTATAGGAGCTATTCAACGGGGAAATAAGTAAACATTTTCTCTGAAAACTGCTTGGGATTTTGTGGTTCACAGAAGCTTTCTCAGAATGCAGCATGACAAATAACGAACGTCTACTAAGTACGCAGCGCTGGCTGCGTTCCTGTGCAAGGCGTGAGGTGCCTTGGGAGCGTGAGTTTGGCTTGTTTCTAAAAAGATGCACACACACGTGTTTGGTTCTTTCATGTAATTTCCCTGGGCTTTGTACGTGAGGCCAAACTTCACAGCTTGTGAAAGAAAGAGGAGAACTGAGACTGAAAACCCCCAATAGCAGTCAGCCTAAGTACGTTACTAGGGTTCTTGCTCTAACGCTTCCATGAATTTGCAATGACACCTGTGGATAAATTGCATTGTCCTTACGGTGCTGGTGCGGAAACTGCCTGACAGTGACTGTTTGGCTTCCCAGCTCCGGATTTTACACTGTCCTCCCTGTTGTTAAAGCTGTCAGTACAACTGTGTGGTCTTAAATGATAGAAGATGAAATGTGCTCCTTTTTGTTTGAGGGGGGGAAAAAAAAAAAAAAGAGAGTTGCAGATAAGTGGAAGTAAGGGATCTTGCATAATGGGAATTGATGCTTTTGGGCAGACTTTATGGGCTATTCCACGGATGGCGGTACTAAATTAGTCTCTTTCTTTGGAAGTCAGTTGCATGGTTTGAATTTTGGGAACAGGTTTGTCTTCGATTCTGGCGTGATTCGTTGTACGTGCTGTCAGCCCCTTCATTCTGAATGAGTACAGTTTCCATGGAAGTTGATGAATTATTTCTTTGTTTGAACAAATTTGTGTCCTTTTGTTTCCATCTTCAGAATGTGTATCTTAATGCTTTCGTGCTTGGTTTGTTTTCTGAAATAACTTTATTCCATGCTGCTAAGATCTCCAAACGCCTAATGTAACCTTTTCAAAAGGTTCTGAAATGGTTGGATTATAGTTCATATTTTTTAGGCAGAAACATTATTTCTTCTCTCTTACAAAACATGAATAAATCTTTGATTAAATCCTTTTTGTGTTTCCTCTGTTCAACAGAATCTGTCTATGACCTTCTCCCAAAGGAGCTGCAGTTACCACCTTCCAGAGAAACATCTGTAGCATCCATGAGCCAAACAAGTGGTGGCGAGGCAGGTTCGCCGCCTCCAGCTGTAGTTGCTGCTGGTAAGCATTCTCATTTATTCTGTTGCTTTGTTAAGGTTTGTAATGTTCTGGCCAACATGAACAGTGCTGGCAAAGTTTTGATTGTTTAAAAAAAAAAAAAAGAGCTTGTGGAGAAGTAACAGAGTTCATTCTAGGAGAATTTAGGTGATCCAAATGAAACTAAACTGGATGATCTAAATTACCAGGTATTCTATGTTAATGGTTGCTCTGTTTCATATATGTATCTTCATAAGAAATAAGTTCCCTGTTTTGCTATTCTGTCATTATGCAGTACAGGTCTGTTAACTCCTAGAATGCACTCTGCCTTCAGAGGTAATAAACACCTATTTGGAACCAAGGCACAATGCTGACCGACTGTAAAACAGTGAATTTTAGCCAGGATAAAAAAAAATTGAATGGGAGATCACATTTTGGGCCATGAAGCTTTTACAAAACTGTAAGGATGAAGAAAGGTCATGTTTTCCTTTGAGAGGCCTGAGAAAGCTTAGTATTTAAACTCCATTTGCACATAGCTCGCTATTGTAATGCATTACAAAATTCTCAGATACCTGAGAATGTAATAAATGTCAGGATGGCACTTTTATAAACTGCTAAGTTTAAATTAGTTATTTTTCTAATTGACAGCATATAAAAATGAGGCATGGCCTTTTTATCTGCGTCTCTATCTTACTCCCAGTCATGTTTTAGGCTTTAGTCTAAAGACTCTGTCATTGATCTTCATTAAAGGAAGAGGCTTTAAGGGCAAAGTTCTGATTTGTCAGGTTAGCCTTAGTGCTGGTTTGCATCTGGAATTCTTGTCAGTAACGTGTACATATCAGTAAACATCTGTGCAATGAGCAAAAAAGGGAAAACAATCATGCTCATGATTGATGCATTCTTCTTCATTGGATAAGGGTTTTTTTGAATCATTTGATCCCCATATTTCTTACAAGGTCATGTTCCACTTTCCTAATTGGCCTTAAACTGTTGCTTGAGAAGAATGTATATATTTGAGGTGAGGATTCAGATAGCTGCATTATTCTTTTTTCTCTCTATGAGTTCATACGCATTAAATGTTTGTGTGAGAATGTTTCCCAGATCTGCATGGTACAGGAATCCTGATCAGAAACTGAAGTGGTTGTAGACTTGTCAGAGAAACTTTACAGCACTGCTCACCATTCATGTTTTGCCAGACCTCTTCTGAGAGAACCTGTGGATTTAACTGTGCACAGTGGAACTTCAGCCATTGGAAGAATTTGATGGTTTCATTTATTATATTGAAAGGATTTGATGTTTTTATATCACTTATGCAAAAAATAATTTGGGCCTAGATTTCTAAAATCAAGATACTTAATGATCGGTTTGGTTCAAAGACATAGCAGCAACCAAATCTTGCAGAAACACGTATCCTAAAAACAAGCAAACAAAAAAAATCCCACGAACCCTGTTACACTCTAAATCCACAGATAGACATGAACTGCTCATTAATTCTGTATCTAACAGAAAAGATTTAAAAACTTGAATGGAACTAAATGTCTGTTACCTCCAGGTATTTAGTGTCTGCTAACAGCCGGTCCAGTTCCTTTTAAAAAACCTAAGAATATGTTAGCTGTGTTTGGGTTAAACTGCAGCACAATTTTCTTGAATGAAAAACTTCAAAAAGTAGTGTTGAGATTTTTTTTTTGTTAACACTGAATGGAGACCCACTCGCTCCATTAAAACCCCTTACCAGTGTCAGAGAGAGCGTAGTTTCACAAAGACTTTAAGCTGATACTGCTGCCGAAAGAAGAGCTTTTGATGCGCGTGCTGCAGAGTGCATTGGATTGAGGACCTGCTCCAGGTTAGAGTTGTCCCACATGGCTTTGCCGCGGGTCTGCAGAAATGCTTTTGGTGGCACAAGGAAAGGTATGGTATGGGGAGGAGGGAGCAGTCAGAAGAGGTGGAGCTAGCTTCTCTCGGAGGCTGTGGGTTTGTGCTGGTTTAAAATGTTTACCGAACTGTGGCTTTGGAGACCTTCCATCAGTGTTGTGACGAGACAGTTCAGTTTCTGGGTGCTGTTAAAATCGGGATCAGAAGCATTAAGAACAGGCAACTACAGTTCTCAAAGTTAAAAATTTTCTTTAAAAAACCTAACTGACCAACCAAAAAAAAAAAACCAACCCAAAAAGAGCAAAGAGCAGTTTTGTTTTCGTTGCTTATGTCACTTTCCACTACAGTGAGGGCAAGAACAATTGAATCTTGGTCTTTTATAAACATACAATTGTGGTGCCCAGGATCATTCAGCAGCGAGCTGTGCTGTGTATGCCTGCAAGGAGAGGCGAGCCCCAGCCCGAAGCTACGTGCGTAGCTGGTGCTGGTGCTGGGCAGCGGGCGCCCATCTCCGTAGGTGTCGGGGAAGGTCCAACCCCAGCATTTTGGCCAGTGAAGAATATCAGATAGTTTTAGTGTACCATCTTAGTGGGGTTTTTGTTTGTTTGTTTGTCTCCTGTCCTCCACCGCATCCTTGAAAGATGATATGTGCATCTTAGATAAATGTTTACCTGCGAAACAGGTCTGTAGGCTGTGTTCCAAAACTATAGAGACAGAGCAGAAAGCTGAAAAGAACAGTCCCTGCCCCTCCCTCTGGTGCTGGCTGAGGAGATATGTCTTCTTTTTATATATATTATATCTATCTATATATCTTAGATGATATATATCTTATATACGTATATAAGATATATTATTCCCCAAGGGTGGACAGATGGTTGGGTATTTCTGGTAAGTCTGAGGCCAGACTTTTTTTCTTTTTAAAGCTGGGGACAAACTCTTAGGAACAGAGGAAGGAACATCAATGTTTACCGAAGTTGTAGAGGGGTACAAGGAGAGGTGAATTTACTCTTTGGGGTGGATCTTAAAATTTGTAGTGGCCGATCAGGATTCCTCCTCAAAGCCATCTTGAACTCAGCACTTCTGAACTGATGCTGCTACCCGCAGCACACAGCTGCCTTGGCACAGGAGCATTCCCTGGTGTTCTCAGAATCCCAGGAGTGCTTTTGCTTTTCATTGAGGTTAGCTGTGTGTTTCTTCCGCATCCAAATCTCCACTTTCTCAAGAGAATCGGGGACAAGTATTTTGGCTGCATTCTTGCCGTAGCTGTACCATGTTCTAGATAAAAGTGTATTGTGTTTTACTATTTTCTTTGGTTTAGGATTGCTAGCTACAGTGTCTTTGAAAAATTGGTACCGCATTTTTAAGCCCTGTCACCCTGCCTCTTGTAGTAATGAGAAGTCTGGCTGGGCTGGGCTCTGATTTCTTAACAGGAAAATAAGAGGAAAATCGGCCTGGGCTTTGTGCGTGTCTGTGTGCTTCTACAGGAAAACATAAGTGTTCCTGTACCTGAAATCTTTCCCTTTTGTCTAAGTCTCTCTCTATTTTTAATTTTTATCTCAGCTTTTACTTGCTCTAAACACTCACTTTCTTGGGAAATGATAGTTCAGTCCCCATAGCCTTGTAGGTAATCTCATTTACTCTTGTTTTTAAAAGGAAGGGCTAGTTTGAAATGCTGCTAGCAACACTGCGTGTAGAAGTCAATTGCAGATATGATTGCTCTCGATAACGAGAGGATTATGTTACAGGGAAGATCTGAAGTGGTGAGAGCTTTTTACTACTGCTGTAATAGTTAACACAGTTTGTTTTCTGCTTCCCAAAACACAGAGTAAGGTAGGATCTGGCTGGAATCCCGCTTACTTGAGGCTTTTCTGTCAGTCACTCTGCTGTGGGGTTTTGTTCTGTATAAATCACGTTATAGGTGAGAAACATGTATTGCTGCAGTTAACTTTTTTCCTGGTTTTTTTGGAGGAGCAGGATGGGCTGTTTTTAGCAGTGATGACCTTGCAGGGGCAGACTTCTAGTTCTTCCATTTGGAAATTTGTTTTGTGATTTACAGACCAGTTTTAAGAATATTAAAATGGAATGTTGCTGATTGGATTCTCATTAATTTGTTAATAAATGTGTATCTCATATTCATTAATCCAGACAAAAGAGGTATTACCCACTCTCTGAATATCAAACAGGCAAGTATAATTTAATAGAACTCTAGGATTTTGAGCTGTGATGTTCACAACCTAAGCTGCTATCTCAAGCTTCTGATTCTGTTATTCTGGAAAGCAGAAGGGAGGAAAAGGATCTGGTTTTACCACTAGAAACTGTTCTCCTGCTTGCTATTTGAATTACAAGTGTCTTTGTTCAGGGACAGGAAAAGGAGGATTTTGCCTGGTGCGGTACCATAAACACATTAAATATGAATCATCTTCTAGACTCTTCAAATGCATGAGGGTGTCATGCTGAGAAATGTCATTGTAAGCTGTGCCTGGAGATGTCTTCTATGAAATAAATGTGCCCGAAGCTTTAGTAATGCCTTCTACACAATATTTTTAAGCTCCAGTTGCAAGGAGGGATGCTTGATTCTTTTCAGTTGCTTCTTAAAGGTTGAACAATTTTTTGTGTTGCTCAAGACACATGGAACAAGTGCTTCAAATGCTTAAAATTCGCACTGCTAATTTACGTCCTTTCTCAAAGAGGTCTTCCTAGTTGGTAGGTCAACACCTTACTCTTGTCTTCCAGGGGTGATTCAGGGAGTATTTTCGACCACGTCCTTTTTAAACAAGTGTTGCATCTTCATCTTTATCTCTGGTAACAGGAATGCTCAAACCTTCTGAACCCCAGTGGAGAAAACTGTTACAGAAACTTGCTTCTCTGCTTATCGTCTGTTCGTCCTTTCTGTAGCAGATCTTGGAGCGAGCTGCTTCAGCTTGTTGATGCTGTCTTAAGCTGCTCTCCATCTTCCACAGAGGCGAATATCTATCTTTCCATATTTTTTATATCGCTCCCCAGGACAGTGTTTCCTGCGTTGTTTTCATTCTGACAGTTTCCAGCTCTTATCTCAAATTGCGTTCTCCACAAAGAGAGCGGTGTTCTCACTGTAACAAAAGGGGCACAGATTTTGTGCCACTGAAATGTATTTACTGATCTCGTTTTTCATT